CCACTCGCAGAATGGTCATGCCACTGTGAGGGTATTAGCCATCCTCAGCCTCAGAGACTCTGCCTTGTGGTAGAGGTGTGATTAAAACTTTACCACATTTTCTATTCCATTGTTACTTACTTTCTTCTGTAAAAACAAATTTTATATTGCCTTTACTGAGTAGGTTCCCTCATTGCTCACTTGATTTCCATGTGCCGTATCCTTTGGCTGGTAGAAATAGGTATGTAACACTGTGCAAAAGCTTATATTATATTAGATAGGCATATATTGAAAATATTTCTAGGGTTAAAGATTAGTGGGGCTGTTGAGAGAGAGAGAGAGAGAGAGAGAGAGAGAGAGAGAGAGAGAGAGAGAGAGAGAGGTCTTGTTGATGTGCTTGGGGCATGCAGGCACTCTGATTTTGGAACAGGAAAGGGATATCAATTATATATATATACCGCAAACTTTTTCATTGCCTGGAGTTCATTTTTGGACTGCAGTGAGAAGCTATTTTTAAAAGTTCCCAAGGTTGTAAGAAAAACATGGAGATTGTCTGAGAGAGTGGAGTACATCACTCTTGAAGTATAGTTCACTGTTATATCTCTGTTGCAAGTGGGGGGCAGGGGGGTGCCTTATCGGAGCCCTGTAATGTAGTCCACTGATAATACTGCAAGTCAGAGGTGAGTCTGAAGCAGCTTTGGTTTCCCAGTCACGAATTCTCCATTCTTGCTCAGGTTGGAGAAAACCTCAATCTCTTTAAAGTGCTTCTTCAAACCTCACAGTTGAAATCAAGTGATTTGTTAAATGCAGAAGTCTCATACTCCATTTACTTGCATGCAAATTGGTTGCATTTCTAAATGATCAAAAACAGCAAAACCACACATACAGTATGCTTCAATTTAGCCTGGGTCTTTGATTCTAAATCTTGTTTTTGCAGCAGGTTCCAAACATTCCCGCATGCTAGAGATATGCTGCAACACTTTTCTAGACTTCCACTTGTATATCCCTACAGAAGGGCTGGACAACTTGCAGTCCTCCAGATATTTTGGCTATCTGCTTCCATCATCCCTCATCTTTGGCTATATTGACTAGGGCTGTGTGTATATTATTATTAAAATACAAGTTAAATAACATTTCTGAGGAATTTAAAGCCCTCATAAAGAATATATTTTTGTTGAACTCAGTTGACCATGAACTGGACAAACTGAGATGTTATTAGGGAAGAATGCAGAAAGACAAAGGGAGCAGGGAGGTAGGTGGATTATGGAAGAAACATTCCCAATTACTAAGGTTAGGTGAGGAGCAAAAGGTGACAGAAATAGGATCAGAACCCTGAATGCAACTTTTCAGTGTCTATCATGTAGAAATAGAAAAAACTATTACAATGGCTGATGCAAAGAAATAGAAGAAAACAACAAAAGAGAGGAAAAAAGAGAACCCTTCCAGATGCAAGAAGTCAAAGGGAAATTCAAGTCTAGATTAGGCATGCTGAAAGATCAAGAGGGGAGCATACTTTTTCACAAGGATAAAATAAATGAGAACTAGACAGAAGAGAAAACAGGATGACAGACTTCTTTGAAGAGGAATCATATGAGGAAGAACCCTCCATATTAGAAAGTAAAGTGAAAGCTGTTCTAGAAATCGCATAGAAGGAATAAAGCACCTAGAGCAGATAGGATAGCAATAGAACTATTTGAAGAGCCTGAATTGGTCTAAATCCTAACAAGAATATGCTAACAAATATGGAATACAAAACAGTAGCCCACATACTGGAAATATTCAATATATATTCCAATCCCCAAGAAAGAATATGCAAAGGAAGGTGGCAACTATAGGAGCCTTATATTAATTTCCGAAGCAAACAAAGTGATGCTCAAAGTGATGCTCAAAGTGTTTTCCCTCTATGGAGGAAAAAATGTCTGATGGTCAAGCTGGATTATGAAAAGAAAGAGGGATTCAAGATCATATTGTAAACATATATTGGCTTAGAGATATCTGAGGAATTTATTTTGCTTGGCTTGCTGGACTCAAGTCTGTTTTGACAAAGCTGTGAGTTTGAGTTCCTGGTTAAGTGCACCCTGCATTTGCAAAGTGCACCCCTTGTAAGCTTTGTGCAAGCATCACCCCTTTTCCACACCACTTGCAGTAGTCTCCATTTTTGCTTCCGCCTAGGATGCAGAAGAATGTTGTTCACATGGCACTCACCACGAACTGAGCCTCATGTGAATGCCTGTGTTAATGCTGCTGCATGTGATGCAAAATAAGGTTGCTGGTTGTGCAGCCTTCATTCTGCAGGTGTTTGTGGACTGCTTCTCAGCTTGGCTTGCTTTCCAAGACAGGACCAAGCATGAGAAGAAGTCATAGGATGGCCATTAGTTAGAGATGACTAGATGTTACAGAACAACAACAAACCAAGAGCAATGTCAGTTTCAACTAGTCCCTACTCATCCAGAACAACACAACACACAAGCAGTATGCAGGTGTAAGATTTTTTTTGGGAGGGGGGAAGGGAATCCTAAGGGATGAGGGAGCTCCCCAATACAGCCCAATGGAGACTGACTAACTCAACATTTGCACACCAGTTGAATGTTGACTGACTGCTATACTGGAAAGAAAAAACTAGGAATAGAAGAAATGGAACAGAGAGGCTTGAAACCTGAGCAAAAGCACTGGAACACTGCAAGAATTTGTCACAGGACCACATTTGTTTGAGTGTCCGTGTATTATGTAGCAACTTGAGTGTCCAGTGCTTCTGATCTTAAAGTACACTAAAGAGCTAACAGAGTATGGTTTTCAAGAAGCTGCTCTTTATTCCTAAACCTCTCAGTGAGTCAAAGACTAGATATGATTCATAATGTATAACTTTTTGTATCAGGTTTTTAATTTCTTTTCAGTGCTTTGACACTTCACCATTCTTCAGCATTTTCAGTCCATGAATTTACCTGTGTTGTTGTTTTTAAAAGAAACACAAGATTTTTAACTTGGTAAAACTATCCACTTAAATCATAAACACAGTTTTCCCAGTTTGGAAATGTGCCTGCGAGAAGCTGTGCAAGAGGCTGTTGTAAACAACATTGGCTATAGCTGGCAATAAAATGGTTTTGGCTCTTACATTTTTAGATTGAGCTAGAACTATAATGTGAACTCAGCTCACATGACTTTGCCACGTGAATCATTTTATGCTGTTATTCACAGGGCTTCTGGAGTGTGGCTGAAAATGTGTCTCTCTGTAGGTGCTTAATACTAGGATGTTAAAATTAACACTTTCCTGCCTCATATATGTAGAGGAGGGGGAGCTGTATATTCTATACATGTGAGAAGGATGGAATCAATCAGGAAACTTTTCTAACTCTTTTAAGGTCAAGCAGCAGTGGTGATGGTGGCTGTGTCTGTATTTACTTCATTTTCTTAGTGTGGTATGGGAAGAGACAGTCATTAGTGAAATGTCTGTTCTGGTTATTTATGCAATAGTGACTTCCATGGCCCATGTTTTGTAAATACTGTATTCTAAACACAGAGAAAGTTTTAGAATTCAGCACCCAAGGCTGCTTTTTATCTGAAATAAGTGGTTGTCAATATAAAACTAATTATTTCACCTTTAAAAATATTCTCAGTATTCTCTGCAAAATGTTCTTCATGTGTGCATATGCATCTGTAGGTCATCTTACTGTGTGAATGCTAGCCAACATTATGCTCTCCTTGGGTTTTTATATTTTTATTCTGACTTTTATTTTATCACTTCTGTACCTGAATCCATAGATATTAAGCAAGATAACGAGATGTTTACCGACATTAAGCAAGATAACGAGATGTTTACCGACATTAAGCAAGATAGCGAGATGTTTACTAACAACCCAAAAGACAGATGAAATAAGTGTGATGATAGGGAAAAGCATAGCAAATGGACAGAAGGGATGGGAGGAAGGTAGGGGCAGAAAGAAAGAAAAATGCTATGAGTGATTAGTCATTAGTTATTGTATGTTGTTTTTACAATCGAGTGGGCCATATAACAAAGTGTGTAATCTGTTATTTCAGAAAGCTTGGGTTTGAGAGAGTAGAAATAAAGCACAGCTTATTACAAATACTCTGGATGATGGGAGAAACCTGAAGAATGAGGGATTTAAAGAAATGGAATGCTATTTTTATATAGTAACATTGTAAAAAATAATTTTTCCAACACAGCAGTGTGCAAATAGTGGAGAAGAAGCACAAATACTTTTGCATGTCCCCCATACATTTTCAGGACTCAGAATTTCCAAAAGTGTGGCTACTGATGTTATTTAGAATTCTATTTCTCCTATCAACAACTGTCACTTTAGAATCAGGGCAAACATGAAATACACTGGTATGGAGAAAACCACAAGTTGTACAAAATAAGTTCTGCGGAAATATTAGGCAGTATCCTATTTAACATTAGTGCTAACATACGGACATGCACATGGTAAGCATGTCATGAGCAGAGCCAGCTAGAGCTGGGAGTCAGACTAGGTGGCCCGGGGGGGTCCCTTCTGACTCATACTATTTCTGTGTTTCTATATGTTATTCTGCTGTAAGTTACCTCTAGTGCAAGACCAATACTGTCTGCTAGCAAAATGAGTTTGTACACTTAACTAGTGCATAGTTACTATTAGTGCTGATGTTGCTACTGCCCATTTCTTGCTAGCCCTGTGCAATGATATATTAAGCCATATTGGCTCTTCTGATTTGCAGTGATAAAAACTGAAACAAAAACATGCTCACTTCAACTTTTAAAATGAATAAAATGAGCAGGTTTTCAGCTGCCAGTAGGGGTGGGTGGTATAAGGAGATCTCAGCCAGAGGTTGATTTTCTGTGGCTTTAACTCTCTGAGGTCCTTATTATGATTATTATAATTATTAAATTACATTCATAGCCTGCCTTTCTTCCTCTTGCAAGGAACCCATGCTTTTGCATTGTATCTACCAACAAATGTGTCCTGTTTTTGCTGCAAGTTCAAACCTGGTGTCTGCATATGATATTCTATTTATATTTCCTTTTGAAGGAGCGTGAAAAAAGAAAACATGAAAGGATATTGAGTGAAGAACTTGTTGCTGCTGTGACCTACCTCAATCAATTTTTACCTCCTGAACATGCTATTGTATATATTCCTTGGGACATGGCCAAATACACAAAGAGGTGTGTATGTCTTCTCACCTGCAGAGGCCCAGCACAAAAAGTGAAAAGTAGACCAGTGCTGTGGACCTGGAAAAGTTCATATTTCCCATCTTCCATTTAGCACATCGGGCATTTGTATGGACTGTGAACCATTTATCAGTGTCTGCTAATCAAGGCATTTCAGAAGCTCTTTGGTTTCTTTAGGCAAGAACTTCAGGTGTTTTGTGGACCATTGTGTCTTCAGGAGGTCTGGGGTATGCTTGAGATGAACCCTTTCAGAAACTGCCCCTTTTAGCATCCACAGAATTCCTTTTGTGCTTGGCTTGGTCCTGCCAGGTGAGCCAAGCCCAGAGGAAGTACATAAAGGCTTGCTGGCCCCCACTTGTGCAACCAGCAGGAGCGACTGCAGGATGTGGAAGAGGAGCACTGTGAGTAGGTGCGCCAACTTCCATTCCCGGTGACCAACCTTCTTCCTCACTCGTGCTGGTGGCAGTGGCATGCACGGGAGATAGAGACTGTAACCGCACACATCAAATGCCATTCCAGCAACCAGCCTTTTATCCCACTCTCTGCTAGTGTTGGGAGCTGCATATGCAGGAGGGAAGAAAGGGTTGGAACTCCTGAGCAGTGTATGGGACTTGATTCCTGGTGAGCACTCTGCAAATGCTGGCTGTGCTTGCCAGGAGTTCCAACTCTGGACTGCTGCAAAGTGAACTGGAGTCTGGGAAGCCTGGGAATCCCATGGAGCCCCACCCTCAAATGGATTTCTCACACAATCCTTGTCTGGGAGACCAAGTTCCCCTTTTCAGAGAGTTCCTACTCTCTTAATTAAGCTGCATCAAATATTGTTTTTGATACAGTCTATGCACTGTGCAGGAGGAAGTGGTATGAACTGAAGTTGAAGTCATTTTTCAACAACTTGGTTCAGTGTGCGCGCTTTTATTCCCATTTAGCAAACTATGTAACGTCCTTGACAGACTGAATGTGATTGCAGAGAATGTGGTAAAGAAAACTGGCTTCTTTGTGAATCGCCCTGATTCCTACTGCAGTGTCTTGCGCCCAGATGAAAAGTATGTATATAAAAGAACAATCTGTTTTATGTAAATATTTTAAAAGATGCTTAAAGTAGCTTGAAATCTTCATTCAATTACTACTGTTAATGACCACATGCACAACCAATATGAAATTACACTCCACTTTCCCAGCAAGGGGATAACTGTTGCCTTTGCTTGTTATATAGTAGCATTTATAAGAGTAGTATATAGTAGTATATATATAGTATATATATATATATAGTAGTATATAGTAGTAGGCTGCTGTAGTCCTTTTTATTATTTTTATTTATGCAGCTTTCGCTTTCCTGGAAGGTGATGACAAATGGTTCTTAGAACACTAATTGAAGTTTATTTGTAAAGCAAAAGGCAGCAAAGCTTTACAGTCTTCCAAGAGCCTTGATCTTACATGCCTGAGCAGAGATATGGCCTGTCTGTCCCCTCAAGCCCTTTATGATATCTTCCCAGGACTTACTACTGAATAAATGTGGTGGTATGAGCACCTGGCCCTCGTTAAAGATGCAAATGAGCTTATAGGATGCATTGTGAATTTTCCACCCCTGATGCTGATCCTAAGACCAGTCACTTCTTCCTCCATTCAATTTGAAGGGAATGAAGGAGGGAGTGTTTCCTTGCTTCTTCTTTGTTTACATCTGGAGATACTTCGGGAAGAAAGTATCTGTGGTTCCTTCTCCCCCCACAACCCTAGTAGTGGCTTCCTAGGGGGCATATTCTCACCTAGGCACTAATAGCTGCCTGCTCCTTCTGCTGGTTTTGCCAACAGGGCTTTTGGAAAGCAGCAGAAGTTGATGCTTTGAATCAGACGGAGGGGGATGGGGAGAGAAAATGAATTTTACTCAAAAATAGGGGAGATCAGGAATTGGGAGAATGCTAATTTCCAAGCCTACTTTCTAGGCAGGCACAGATCAGGAGGATGTTTATAAAGCCTCTCCCACTGGTGAAATGTCATTTTGATTCCCTGTGTCTATTTATTTATTACTTCAATTTAAAAAAAATTAATTAAAATTTTAAACTAACACTAAAAACATCAAACATCACATACATCGGATTTACTGGGTCAACCCCCTACTACATATTTTTTAAATATTCTAAAGTCAAATTCAAATCCATTTATAATAATTTGAAAACACGCTCTAAGTTTACGCCAAGTCCCGTTTCTCCAGCCATTTATTGAAAAAATCCCAAGTTCGGTAGAAGTCAGTATCCTCTTTCTCCTTCAATGATAAAGTCAATCTATCCATTTCTGTGCAGTCCAAGATCTTTCTTACAATCAATCCATCGGTGGGTAGCTCCTCACTTTTCCAATATTGAGTAAATGCAATCCTCACCGCTGTGATTAGGTGCAGCATCAGGTACATTTCCTGTCTGTTAACGTCTTCCAGTATGATGCCTAACAAGAAAACTTCAGGTTTAAAAGTATAGGGTTTTTGTAATATTTCCTCCATCCATCTATGTATTTTAATCCAATACTTTTTCACATTATCACAAGTCCACCACATATGATAGAAAGTACCCACTTTATGTTTACATTTCCAACATCTATTTGACATATTTGGAAACATCTTAGCTAATCGACTTTACTTTAATGTTTCCCATAGTTTTTGCCACTTTTCTAATTCAATATTAAATCCAAAGTTTTGTGCCCATCTTATCATAGTTTCCTTAACCTGTTCCCCTTCCATTTTTCTGTCAAGTAAAAAATCATATAGTCTTTTAATAATTTTCTCATCTGTTTTAAGCATCACTTGATCAAACTCTGTTAGGTCTTTATAAAACCCCCATGTTTTACAGTCTTTAGCATATCTCGATTGCATCTGCACCTTATACCACCAGGAAATATTAAATCCCTGTTCTTGTATTTCTTGTTCCAGTTTCAGGCCACCATCCTTATTCAAGATATCGTCATATCTTACAATCTTTTCAAAGTTCAATACAAAGTTCAATACATTTGGATATGCAAAAGCTTCCATAGATGAGAGCCATCTTGGTAATTTATTATACACTTTTAGCTTTAGTTTTTCCCACACTGACATTAGAGATCTAATAAAATGACTCAGAAAAGACCCATGTGACTTAGCTTTTTCATACCACATATAAGCATGCCAACCCATCTGCAAGTCATGACCTTCAAGATACAAAATTCTCTTATTTCGCAAAGTTATCCATTCTTTTAACCACACTAAAACAGACGCTTGATAATACAACATCCAATCGGGAAGACCAAAACCTCCATTCCTTTTAGCTTCCTGAAGCATTTTTAATTTAATCCTTGGTTTCTTTTTTCTCCAGATAAATCTCGAAATTTGAAAATTTTGATCATCAAAGAATTTTTTATCAATTTTTACGGGAATCATTTGAAACAGAAACAGAAGTTTCAGTGAGTTAGCTGTTGTTCCTTGTTTGTAGTGTTTTTAGTAGGAGGAGAGAAGAAAGGTATTTGAATTAAATCACTCATACCAATTTCTGAAAGGAAGCTTTATTCAAGCTGTGATTATCTTGCTGCTTCAGAGAAAAATAGCAACTCATTATTGAGAGCAACTTCCCTTCTTTTAATTAATAAGTATGGCAATAAAAACTTTTGGACTGAAGCACATCAGTAGAAATCATCCATGTTGTGGATTTCTGCGTATGGTATGGCAAGTTTCTAGTCTAATGAACAATTAGGGAATACAGTTATATAGGGAACACAAGCAGCATTTTATCTTGCAATGATACATGCCCCAAGTAATTTGAAACTGGGCAAATAGGATTCCATACAGTCTCTACACTAGTACCATTGGGTTGGATCCATTGTTTTATGGAGCAGAATCTATGAGTTAAATTACCCTAGGGCCAGAAGGGTGGATATTCTCAGAATTTATCTGCAGTCCTCTGTGCTTCTGAAAATCTTTGCAGGACAGTTAGGGGGCTCTCCAGAATAGCACACAAGATGGTACTGGAGGTTACCCCAGGTCCTTTCTTCAGGGGGAAGTTAGATTCCAGGAACCTCCCTCAACAGAAGTAGCTCTTCTGTTTGTAGCAGGGCAGCTTTGAACCCATAACCCATTGAAATTAATATCACACACATTCATGTTCTTGCTCATGTCTTGTTTCAGTTTGGATTTAAGTGTAGTTACTGAGATACATTTTCTTCATGTATGCAATAGATACCTTGGAGCAGCATAAGAAACAAAATACACATTTTTAATGTGCATACTGAAAAAGATTGCATTTGTACTGCTTTCGTATTCTTCATAATTTATGAATTTGAGAACAGCTATATAGTTATTGATCTGCTGCATGCAATTGCTTGATATTTCTTGTTAATATATTTTCATGTATTATTCAACAGTGAATAACCCATTAATATTAAAAAAAATATGAACAGGCAATTCATTTATAGGGGAATGTGAGCAACTCTTGGGAACAATTTGTTTTGAGGCACACACTTCTGTTGCAATTCTGTTGCAAAACAAGGTATATGCTAATATTGTTTGCCAGGAATTGTGTGTAAAGGAGTTCTCTTAGAGGAAGGCTTGATAGTCATTCTAAGGCTTTGGTTATTTGCAGAAGGATAAGCATTTGTGAGTGAACTGCACTTCCAGAGAAGAAAACTTGCCACCCAAATTAGACTTGCCAAGTATATGTTATTACTCTTGGTCTCCCAAGCAGGGATCAAGCAGAATCAGTAGTTTTTATCATTTTCCAGCATCCTGGCGGTAAGAGAACGTCTCTTTACAGTCTCATTTACCATAATCTTAGAGTGGTTTGATCTATCCATTTATGAAAACAGAACAGGTGATAAATTATCCATTCTCATATTTATTTATTATTTATTTAAAACTTTTATATGCCATTCCTTATGCATGGCATCTCAGGACAGCTTATAATCATTAAAATAGAATAATAATAAATAACACATAATGAATAAAATAAATTAATTAAAAATCAACTGTACATTAACATACTAACTTTTAAAATAACAGTTAAATAAAAAGGTTTTGACCTGGCGCTGGAAAGAATATAAACTCGGTGCCAGGCAAACCTCTCCAGGGAGCGAATTCCATAATCTATATCCATACTAGTGAAGATCATGAACCATCAAGAAATGTATAATTCCAGGAAGTAATACAACCATTCAATTTGTCTAAGTATGACTAGCTTCCTCAGCATAGGACGATGACAGAGGCACGGATGCAGTGTCTAGCTTTATTCAGAGGCAAATCAGGTGACACAGATCACACTTCAGGGGTCGTGGGACTTAGCATTACAAGTCATAAATCAGTTATAGCTTAAAATAAGGAATGGCCCAGAGCATGCACTTAGCTTAATTCTTAGGGAAAAAAAATAGTAAAACAAAGTACTAAGATATGCATGTTCATGAATCATGATTAAAAAACAGGTTAACTCACTATTCAGTAAGTGTCATGGCTACAGCCCCAGGCAAAAATGGAAACATACTCCAAAATAGGATATCCTTGCTCAGGAGCTTCAAGTTAAGTTGGGACGTCGGTCAGGAAGAGTTGCAGCTTGGCAGAGCTTTTCTCTTGAGGTATCCTCTTTGACAGGATTGCTACTTCAGTGCAGGAGTTCAGGAATAAATTAGGTCAAAAAGCCCTAGGCAATGGAAACAGTCCCAGAACCAGGATTTTCCAGCCTAGTTGCCCAGGTGAACAGGGGTTGAGGTTACTAGAACAAGCTGTGGCAAAACAGTTATGGAGTACTGGGATATATTCCATGTTTCAGGGTCTTGCATTGCTAGGGTCCAGGTCAAACTGGATCCAGAGTTTCAGGAATGTACTATATGAGAAGGGATCTTGGCAAATTCCGGGAAACATGCCTGGAATTAAATAAATCTAGAAAGTCACAGGCAAAGATCAGGTTCAGCAACTGTCTGTATTTGAAATCTCTGATATGTGAGCAGAATCTTAAAAGTCACTAACAGACCTAACCTGAAAGTATTCTTGATCATCAAAATCAAGGGTTTATGCAAACATTAATCTGTGGTCACTGAGAAGACCAATATTATATTCCACAAAAGCTTTTAACAAAAAGTTCAACATGAATGGCCAACAAGTCCAGGTGAGAGAGTGTTTTGTTAGTCCAATTGATGGAAAGTCCAGACAGAAGGTATAACAAGCAGTAAAAGGGAGAGTTCATGTTCCTTTGCAGGGAGTCTCAAAGTCCTTGTGTAGCATTTGGTCACCAGCCTATGGTTTTCTGGGTATAGAATTCTCTGAAAGTGCAAACACACTAGCAGAAAGTGTTCAGCAAAGGAAAACCATTGTAGACAAAGAAGAAACATTCTAGGCCAGTGAGGGTGAACCTTTTACAGACCAAGTGCCCAAACTGCAACCCAAAACCCACTTACTTAGTGCAAAGTGCTAACACTACAATAAAACCTGAAAACTGAGGTTTTAGTTTAGAAAAAACAACTCACAGCCAGTGCAAACAATCCTTGGCAGTGCACAGACTGGCCATGCAAAAGCTCGGACAAGTCATGGCTAATGAGTTGTGGCTCATGATGTCATCGCCTGGCGCCACTACTCCTTTCTGAACATGCGCATGGCCCCTATTTGTGCTGTTATCCGATGCTTGGCTGCTGGGGCAATCCTGGGGTGACTTGGTTCATGTGCCAACAGAGAGGGCTCCACATGCCCGCTCTGGAAGGTGCCATAGGTTCACCACCACTGTTCTAGGCAATGGAAATATGTTGGCACCATGTTGGCTTTTCATATTTATTGTTGTTGTTGTTAGTTGTGAAGTCGTGTCCGACCCGTTGCGACCCCATGGACAACATTCCTCCAGGCCTTCCTGTCCTCCACCATCCCCCGGAGTCCACTCAAGCTCACACCAACTGCTTCAGTGACTCCATCCAGCCACCTCATCCTCTGCCATCCCCTTCTTCTTTTGCCATCTATTGTTCCCAGCATTAGGCTCTTCTGCAGGGAGTCCTTCCTTCTCATTAGGTGGCCAAAGTATTTGAGTTTCATCTTCAGTATCTGGCCTTCTAAGGAGCAGCCAGGGTTGATCTCCTCTAGGACTGACCGGTTTGATCGCCTTGCGGTCCAAGGGACTCTCAGGAGTCTCCTCCAGCACCACAATTCAAAGGCCTCGATCCTTTGGCGCTCAGCCTTCCTTATGGTCCAGCTTTCACAGCCATACATTGCAACTGGGAAAACCATAGCCTTGACTATACACACTTTTGTCGGCAGGGTGATGTCTCTGCTTTTTAGTATGCTATCTAGATTTGCCATAGCTTTTCTCCCCAGGAGCAAGCATCTTTTAATTTCTTGGCTGCAGTCCCCATCTGCAGTGATCTTGGAGCTCAGGAAAATAAAATCTGTCACTACCTCCATTTCTTCCCCATCTACTTGCCAGGAAGTAAGAAGACCGGATGCCATGATCTTAGTTTTTTTAATGTTGAGTTTCAAGCCAACTTTTGCACTCTCCTCCTTCACCCGCATCAAGAGGCTCTTTAGTTCCTCTTCACTTTCTGCCATGAGAGTGGTATCATCTTCATATCTGAGCTTGTTGATATTTCTCCCAGCAATCTTAATTCCAACTGGTGATTCATCTAGCCCCACCTTTCTCATGATGTGCTCTGCATATAAGTTAAATAGGCAGGGCGACAGTAAACAGCCTTGCCGAACTCCTTTCTCAATTTTGAACCAATCAGTGGTTCTGTGTCCAGTTCTCACTGTTGGTTCTTGACCCAAATATAGGTTTCTCAGGAGACAAATAAGATGGTCAGGTACTCCCATCTCTTTAAGAACTTACCACAATTTGTTGTGATCCACACAATCAAAGGCTTTAGCATAGTCAATAAAGCAGAAGTAGATGTTTTTCATATTTATTATAGCTAGCCAAAACTTCTGTATTACAACAGAGCTGCGAGAACTAAGCTTGCACAGAATACCTTCCCTAGGATTCTTTCTTGATCTGTAAATTTTTACAGAATTATCCCTTGCAATTTCACTTTATTGACTCAGGGAAGATTGCGCACAATTACTACAATATAAATGCTTTGTAACTTATACTGTTCTTTCTTACAGATGGAATGAGCTAGGAGGATTTGTGGTTCCCACGGGCCGTTTGCAGGTATTGAAATGGAATTGATTTGAAACTGATTATTATAGAGCAGTATCCCCCCTCCCCCAAAAGTCCTTTCAGACCTATCATTGTTATACTCTGAAGGCAAATTTGACATGTAATACTGGGTTTTGAACTAATAATAGTTTCTGCATTTAATAACTATTATTTTTTAGACAGGAGTTCTTCGAACCAATTGTGTTGACTGCTTGGATCGCACTAACACTGCCCAATTTATGGTTGGGAAATGTGCTTTGGCATATCAACTTTATTCCTTAGGGCTGATTGACAAACCCAATCTACTGTTTGACACAGATGCTGTTAGGTAAGAAACTGACCTGTACAGTAACCTACATTTTTTCCTGTGGGTATTAATAGAAATCTATCAATTTCCTTTTCTGTTATTGACACTTTTCTAGCAGTGCATTTCTGCACACCATTTCAGTGCAGGATGCATATTTTAACTCCTCCAACTTTTTCTGATGGGGCAAATAGACTTGTTTGAGAGATGGTAAAAAACAAAGTGACCTTTCTTATTAACTTCATAAAACTACTTGAATGGTAATAGATGTAGACATTTTTCTATACTACATTTTTCTCTCTTTTTGTAATTTGTAGGCTGTAGTAGCATCATGATGTATAATGTTTGATTGATATATGGTATTGTGTATATTTTTTGGACTTGAAAGTGCAATAAGCTGAATGTTTGATAACTGCTGTGATAACATTAATTATGTCAGGAAAATAGACAACCTAGATGCCGAGTCTTTAATATAGGATCTTTGAAGAAAGCATATACTAAAGCTATCTGGGCAATTTGTTTGTAAAGCATGGACAGAAAACATGAAAATCTTTTAGCCAAAATTCTCATGAAGTAAAGGTACTTCCAGTGGGCTTTGTCAGCTGAACAAGTGTATGCAAAGTCCACGAGAACAGATGTGTTTTGTTCAGTTATATCAAACTATATCAAGTAACTATATTAAATTAGCTATATTAAAATAATCAAATTTTGGCAACAGTGTGCTAAAGCAGCTCTGTGTTTTATAGTTTGACTTGATCTTTGTTCTTTTGATGAATGCATGTGTATGCACTGAGAAATCTCCAGGCAGCAAAATGGAGAGAACAGAAAATGGGAGTGTGACCCAGGAACCATAAGATTGGTTGGAGACCCACACAAAAGACAAATGTAGCCTTAAAGGGAGGGACAAGGGTGTTCCAAGCAGAGGGAAGAGGTGAAACCAGGGCACAGTAAATCCAGCTTATCCAGCCTGTACTAGTGCAAGTCTTCCGGACAGGCTGAAAGACCCATCTGGAGGAAACTATGTAAAAAAGAGAATTAGCAGGTGAAAACCACTGTCCTCCTCTAGCCCGGCTGAGAACAGTCTTGCAGAGCATTGGCTACTTAGATTGTTGGATTATTGTTCCATGGCCTGTTTAAAAGCTATGAATCTAATAACTCACTCTTAAAATTCTGGTCAGTTTTATGAAATGCTTGCCCTGACTATTGAAACATAAAGCTTAGGTTTAGGGTAACAAGATGCACGTTGTGTGCAATTAGTCAGAGGTTAGTGTTTTTCTAACTTGATTCTTTCGGAAACTTGTCACTGGCTCTCCAGTACACAATATTTACAAGGAATGGTTAGTCTCGTAAAATGTTTGCTCCTTCAGATGAAAAATTAACCGGAGAACATGTGAACCCAATTGTGAATAGATGGATTTTACCACAACTCTGTATTAATAACAGTAGTAAATTGTTAGCCCAGTACAGTGGTACCTTGGTTCACAAACTTAATCCGTTCCACGACTCTGGTTGTGACCCAAATTGGTTGTGACCCAAGTCAAATTTCCCCATAAGATTCAATGTAAATAAGGTTAATCCATTCTGGCCCCTCTGAATGTGATTGTGAACCAATTTTTGGTCGTGAGCCAAGTCAAATTTTCCCATAAGGTTCAATGTAAATAAGGTTAATCCATTCTGTAACTATTTTTTTAATCAGAAAAATTTGAAACAGAGTGACAAAGAACAACAAAGTAACAAAGTACTGTACAGTACAGTGGAGAACACTAGCCTAGGTGTGGGGGAGGTTATTGTTTTGAGGGAGAGCCCCTCCCCCCATAAGGACATTGGATAGATCTCTTTCAGGGGTTTCCTCTCTTTGTCTCTTAGCTGCAGGGTCAATTTTGGTGAAAAATCTGTCTATAGTTACTTGTTTTTTGTGTAGTCACTCAGGGTGGGAAGATGGCCGCGATCGTGCTGGTTGAGGTGGGGAAAATGGCCGAGATGGCTCCCGTCTTTTCTGCTGGAGCGCTCCCGTGATCATGCACTTCTTCCCCGCATGAACGCAACTGCGATCGTGACCATCATCCCACTCGGGGAGGGGGGCGGAGAGATGGCCACGATCTTGGTCACCACCCAATGCAGAGTTCACGACCCAAGTCAAAATTTTCATGAAATTTTTGTTCGCAACCCCATTTGGACACGTACCAAGGTGTTCGTGAGCCGAGGTACCACTGTACATTTTTAATTTACCCCAGTAAATTTCTGTTTACAAGACATACCTGAACATGTGTAGACATTTTGAGTTGATGCAGCTTTAGGTCAGGCTTCATTCAGACCCTTTTAATTACCCAGAGAAACAAATTAATAACCGTCTTATACATCCTGATTTTGCAAGGTATTTACAAAATAGCTTTTTGATAATCCTTCTTTCAGGTTGCAAAGTCATGTCACCCTGCATCACCTTTAATTTTTGCTGAGAAATCGCATACTTGACTTCTGTTCTTTGCAAATCAATATACGTTTATTAGACCCTTCTGACAGTAGGACAAAGACTGAAAAACAGATGAACACTGTGAAAAGACTGCACAGTCATTGTCTGTCTCCAGAAATCCTTTGCATGTCTGGGTTTCAAGCTGAGTAGGGTTGAATGTTGAGCTCTTGCTGCCTAGGGTGATATGAGGCATGGCTTCTGGCTTCTTTGCAATAGTAGCAGTGTCATTTTGTGGGATATAGATAACCACTTAACAGGAAGCACTAGTCCCAGCCACTGAGCTTGAAGGCCTAAGTGAATTGACTGGTTATAAAATAGCAGTAATGCAAAAAAACCAATCAATTCTACTTGAAATATAAATGCTGATTTAATGTGTATTATGAAAAGTAAGATCATATTTAACAAACACTACTGAGCAATACCACTATCCTTTGTCTGTTGTAGTAAACATTTGCTGATGTTACATACTGTACTGCTAAATATCACCCTGGGTTCCCTGATTAGCATCTAGCCAGCAGATCTGTACATTGAGAAAAAGTATATAATTTTGGTTTTCCCAAAACTGTATTTCTTGTGAGAGTAGGCTGAGGATTTATTGTCTCCTACTTCAAACACTTCTCAGATAAAGAAACCTGGTGGGGGGGGGGGCACATTGAAGCTGTTCTCATTGACTTCCTAGTTTTCCATAGTTAGATAATTGTTACGTTGAGAGAATAAAAGGGTGTGACTTTCCATGAACTAGTGCATTCCTGGGGTGACTGTAGCACATTCCTCCCTGAAAATTTGAAACTGCACTGTGTCTTGATGTATTCTTGTGTGTTTAGAAAGCGGTCAGTGGTGTAAATATTCCTTTTGTTAGAATTCTCAGCCATGTTCTTTTTCTTGCTATAGATTATTTGAAGAATTGTATGAAGATCATGGGGATACATTGTCACTCCAATATGGTGGTTCTCAACTTGTTCACCGAGTAAAAACCTACAGAAAGATAGCACCCTGGACCCAGCATTCTAAAGATATTATGCAGACTCTTTCAAGATACTACAGTAATGCCTTTTCAGGTAAATTAGATTATCTCTCTGAAATTATCCCCTGTCCCTTCATTTACTAACTATGAATCTCTGCATAAATATCTGTTTTGTTGTGTTTTAGCAGTTATCAGCAGCGGTTAGTCTTGGCAAAGGAAAACTGTTTTGCTTCTTTGAGCAGTTTTAACAAGTGGCTACATGGTGCTATAGAATTTTGCTACTGAAACTAGGTCAAGCTAATGTGTTGACAGTCTGCAAAATATTTGGGTCAGGCTAAACTTTAAATTCAGTAGCACAGATTTGGAGTTAAGACATAAGGTAGAATCCTGTAGTTAATGAAAAGCAAGGCAATGGTTTATTATGATGAGAATGAGGCTAGGTTAGCCTCAGGCTTGTGTAGTTCTCCTACCCCTCCTGTCTTCTGGTGTGGCCACAAAAAGCTCAGAAGTTGCTTCCATCATTGATTAAACATAGCTTGCGATGTTGCCCAAACCCAAACTGTGGTTAATAGGGTTTCTATGAAGCAAAATTAAACCGAAGCTGTCTAGTTGCAAAAAACAATAACTAAGTTAATGCTAAACTGTGACTAATCAAAATCAGAGCAAAACTTTTAAACTACTCCTTGCAGCTGTACTGGAGGAGGAAGAAAGGGAGTATGTGAACCTGAAGATTGCTGTAGCTCATTCCTATTGTGATAAACAATGATTTATCACAATTTCTGGTTGTAGCCAGTGTGACACTGGACATATACTGTGCACTGTGAGTAGACTAATATCTGACAATTTGGTGCCCTCTAAATGGTTTGGGTTACAACTCCCATAAACCTTAGCGAGGCTAATGGTAGGGATTGTGGAATTTGTAGTGCAAAACATCTGGAGGGCTCCCAGCTGGCCTTATACTAATTGTCAGATTTCTGATTCTTTAATAGCCCCTGTTCAGACTGTAGAATGATCTGAAAGCAACACTGGTTGAGATCTAAAGCACTCTGCATGTGGGTGAAATATTGATGTGTATTTTAAAAAAATTGTTAATAAATTAAGGGTGTGATCCTGTGCAAGTTTAGAGAGAAGAGGCCTACAATCCTCAGCATTCCTCCGGCAGAGTGGCTGGTTGAGGAACTCCAGGAGATATAGAAACATTTGTTGGTTTGTTTATACTTTCATTAATATGCCACCTACTGAAGCAGACAAAAATAACATGCGTCTAGCACACTAAAGATTACCTTAGCTGATACCTTTCTTTTCTGTTGGGTAAACTAGAATTACCAAGCAGCATTCAAGGTTTAAGATTAACATTGCTGAGAAACCACACTTCTCCAATATTGCTCAGATGTATAGCCTTCTCTTTGGATTCAGGCATAACTTGTTCTTCTTGTTTACAGCCAGTGAGGCTATGCACAGCTCTGATTGACTATGAGAATCAAAGAATCAAACGGTCACTGTCCTCACTGCCCTCTTCTCCAACAATTATTTTAAAAAATCTCCTGAGGAATAGCCAGAACCGTGGCTTCTAGATCGAGAGAAGTGTTACTACTACTCTATACGACTCTGATGCGCCTGCAACTGGAGTATTGTGTTCAGTTTTGGGCCCCTCATTACAGGAAGGATATAGCCAGGTTAGAGTCCATGCAGCGTAGGGCCACAAGGCTGGTTTGCAGGGAAAGTCATATGAGGCGAGACTGAGGGAACTGGGTCTTTTCAGCCTGGAGAAGAGGAGACTCAGAGGGGATCTGTTGGCGACATACAGGTATGTGAGGGGGTGTCACACAGAGATGGGTAGAGACTTGGTCTCCCCTGCAGAGGAGGGCAGGACGCGCTCCAGTGGAGCAAAGCTCAGGGAACCAAGGTTCCATTTAGATGCCAGGAAGCACTTCCTGACAGTTAGGACCCTGAGGGTGTGGAATGGGCTTCCAGGGGAGGTGGTTGAGGCCCCGTTGGTGAGGATGTTCAAAGATAGGCTGGACATGCACATGGTGGGCATGTCATAAGCGGAGCCAGCTGGAGTTGGGGGTCAGACTGGATGGCCCGGGAGGCCCCTTCTGACCCACTCTGTTTCTGTGTTTCTAAACATAATGTGTCAAACCAAAAGTCTTGGCATATGTAAAGCATGAGGGGCAAACAAAGAGGAAATCAGCATTGGATTCACCTATATATGTTGTTTAAGGAGTGAACATGTGTAACATCAAGCCCACCCAGCTTCAGAAAAACATGCACTAATTGCCCTTTGAAGAGATGCAACCATGATTCCTTGTACTGAATAGGCTTTTTTCAGGCCATTTTGACAAGTAAACCAGACTTGTCAACTGGTGCCCTCTAAACGCGAGCTATATTGAGTGTTGCTCTCCTATGCATATGAAAGCCATGGTCTATAGGCCTGGCTTATAAGGCTAGTTAACCTTGGATTTACTTGCTTATCTTCTATGCATCCATCATGCGGTCTACTTTCTTTCTTAAAGAAACATCCCCACCTCAATAACTTACTAGCATTTTACTTGGGAGTCCAAATTCAAACAGAAAAATGGAAAAGGAGTGGGAAGAGAACATTATTAATCAGATTTCTATTTTAAAAAAGCATTCCCAGCAGAGTCTGACCTTCCTAACTTCAATAGGAATTCCTAAGATGAAATGGCAATCTAAATTTCCCAAAGTGTCCAAGCCAAGGATTGTTCCCTTGCACCTAGAACAGGGAGCCCAAGGTGCAATCCTGCCTGCCTGCCCTGAGTCTCAGTCTTGCTCGCTGGGATTCCCCAGAGGACCACACCAGCCACCAAGTGTTTGGCGGTTTCTTGGCTTTTATGCAGTTTGCTACACATTCTGAAATGTGGGATTGTCTCTCATAGGCTTACTTATTGATAATAAGAGTTTTGAGCTAAAATTAGGTGGTATTTTGGCCCTATTTCTTGCCTTTGAGTCTGGTGCCCTTTGCTCATACTCATCACTGAATTGTAGCCTGCAAGAGCTTTTCTGAAATGGAAATTGGCTCTGAGCTGAAAATGGTTTTGCACCCTTTTTAGAGTCACATTCCTCTTTTAAATCAAGGTTTACATCTATTTCTATTGTAATTCTTAGCATTATTTTTAAAGGTGTTCCACTTCCTTTATAGTCAGCAGAGTACGAAGTATACCTTTCCTGAAAGGCATTATGAATAAGATTTATTTCATTAAATGTTGGTAGGTATATTGGAATAGCCATTCTAAAGTGGCATTTCTCATCTGTATAGGAAGTGTAATGATTTACTGCAGACTTGAATGTTAATGATTTCTGGAATCTAAACCAGCCTGTTTATTTAGAAACAGGACTGGGCAGTCAGCTTCCCCTTAACTGATATATAGGAAAGTAATGTGATTACCACATCCTGTTCACCATGGTACACTTCAATCCAAGCCATACTAAATCCAGGTCTTTTGCAGAGTGAGGGCACTGAAGTGTTTCAACTAATTCAGTTACTTTCGCTCATTAGCTCCTGGTTATGGCTCTTTCCACAAACAGCATACAAAAAATGTGCTATAGCACACGTAGGTACGATGATAATTTAAACAGAGCAACTCTGTGCAGGATTTTCCTAACTGAAGTGCTTTCTTTCAGCAACTAAATTTAAATCAGCTGAAGTTTTCACTTGTGCTTCATCTTACATTGTCTAGTTTTATGAAGATGAACATATTTTAAGAATCAGCTTTCTTGTATTTGTTCATGCTGATGATTTCATTTACTTATTTTCATATTTGGAAGGCAAAATTGCCTTTATTTTTCAAGGCAGTTTAATTATTTGTTTCCCTGATATATTTCTCCTGTTTATTATCTTCTAGTTGCATTTTAAAAAATATATGCTTGTTGTTTGTTTTTTATAAAGCTATGATTTATTCTGGGTTATCATATTCATGTTAGAATGTGACATAACCCATTCACAGATAAATTGTGCAGAGTGGGCTTGCATGGAACAACCCAAAATGCATCCAACAAACAATAGGGCTCACTCTAGGTTGTCCTGCCCCCAGTTCCTTCTACCTTTGTCAGTGATGGTGACCAATGTTTCACATTTGGGTAGTCCAAGTTACATACTTGCACAACTACGAAGTACTGACCGCGCATGTGTGAAAACATTTTACACACTTGTAGCGCGCACCCACAATGATGGAAAGCCACTCCAGTGTGCTGCTGGGGCATTTTGGAGGGATTGCCGTGCCTGTTGCTATCACTTTGGAGATTCCTTTTCATGATCAAAACAAAAACACAACAGAGGCACAGAGGTGATCACGAGAGGAGGCGTGAACAGAGCAGAGTGCTTCTTTGACACTTGGTAGAGCAGCTATCACTAGTGGGAGCCAGGATGAAAATTGGCAGGAGTGGCAAAGTAGTTTTCCTGCTCTTGCCAAGGGGTCACCCACCACTTCTGTGGACCTACAATGAGATTCGTTGTTTAGGTGCAGGTACTTACCACAAGCAGTAGGTTGGCAAACAGCTTGTTGCCCCAAAGCAAGCTACTCTGCTGGAAGTGGTCCAGGTTTACATAGCATGACAATCCATTGTGGTTTGTTACCTGTAATGGATTGTAGTGTCTTACAAACCTAGTTATTCTCTTTGCTAACTTCACAGATATAGCTAAGGCTGATGTTTGGCCTTTTCTAGGGTTTATGAAATTTGGAGAAGATTCCAAGGCAAACCCTAGAAATTATTGGAGGGGAGTTAAATACTGGGTGAGGGAGAGTGGTAAGATAAAGGAGAGGGTTTACAATTGCAGTGAAGAGCTTATTACTCTTTTTTATTTTTTATTTTCTGCACTGAGCTTAACATTGAACTTGGTCGGGTTTAAATTATATTTGTCTCTTTTTATTAAAGAATTAAGAGATTTGGCTCTATAATTGTCCTAAGACTATCCAGCCTTTAAACAATTTTTTCCTATGTTTCCATGCGTTTCTTATGGCCAGTACAAAGGGGAGATGGCCCAAAATGCAAAGGTTATTCTAGCTTACAGCCCTTACTATTAGTAAGTAAACCTTAGGGAAGGTATTTCAAACTTTAGAACAGGGTAAAAGC